CCCCTCCCCTCCCCTCCCCTCTCCCTTCCCTTCCCTTCCCTTCCCTTCCCTTCCCTTCCCCAGAACAAACTGTTCTGCTCCTCTTAGAAAAAAAAGTGAAAATTTAGATGTCAACACTGAATTATTTTGATTTGGAAAAATACATGTAAGAAAAAATGGGTATTCTTTTATTAAGAAGGGACGATGTAAGTAGCACCTCTGTTTGGCACTGGAATGTGGTGTGATTCATTGTGCTCGAAAAACACTGGAAGTAATGTAGTTCTTCTCCTGCCTTTTGGTTTATTTTTGTTTTCTTATTCATTGTAAATGCTCATCGATACAGAAGGTAAACAGCAGGGTGTATCAAGGTTCTGGTTTTGGTCCAATGTTTAATGTATCTGTTGATGATCTGGAAGTGAAGAAAACAGAAAGGGAGAAAAAAATGCACAGGTTAAGAAAATGTATCTGAATTAATCCTTTAGAAGAATTTACTTATATTTCACCCTGACAAAATAATTCGTGTTTAGAAGGGTAATATTTGAAGTATTTCTTTATCTTACAGAACTGCTCTCAATCAACTCATGGAAGTGACTGAGGGATCCATATGGGCAGTTCTACAAACACAAGGTGTCAGACAAAAACCGACCAGGCTGTTGGAATAGAAAAACACTGTAGTGAAGAGCCATACAATAAACTGTGGTATTGCCAATTCACAGACCATCATTGATTTTTCACTTACGATACTGTGCAAAAAGACCAGTCCTTCCCAGAAAGAGAAAAGGCTCAGGGCATAGGAAATCCATAAAAGCTGGGATTGTTCACTCTAGAAAAAAGACATATAAGCAAAGGCACTATAAAAATGACCTAAAATAGAGAAGCGTGTAGAGGAAGCAGGGGATGCTTCTCATTTAACTGCCTGAGAGCCCAGGGGCACAGAGTGAAAACAACTGGCAAATTCAAAAGTGAGGCAAAAAGAAATGCATTTTTCTTTCACTGTATAATTAGTATCAGTTTGTCTAATGAAAGCTATTTCCTCTCCCTACAAGCCTTGCCCCACTTGTTTCTTTAGACTCTTGTGCTACAGCATTATTACTAGTATTGCTGTAGTATGTCATGAAGATTGATCACTAGGCAAGACTGAGAAAGAGATCAAAAACATAGGAAAGAAATAATATTTGAAGATCTGCTATTTAATACTTACAGCTGTGTAACATCTGAAATATAGTACATTTAGAAAGAGATACTAAGCCTCATATTTTATGACTTATGGAAATTTTTAACTAGCAAGGATTGGAAAGGTTTATTCTGTTTTCCTTAGAAGTACTTGGTGCTGACCACTTAGGAAAAGTATTATGAATATTTTAAGAGGATTATGGATATTACCAATTTACATGAGCCTACAGGTTAAATTAATTCAATATAATCTGCAAGCTCTGATTTGGAAGGACAGCCTCGCAGACCATAACCGCAGACAGATGTCAGTTCTTCAGCAGTCATCTACTACAAGAGATCAAGGACTGGAAAAAGCCGTGGAGCCCTAAAAAGCTTCTTGCTTTCAGGCTCAGAGGGCTGTGCAACCCTGCAGAGCGGCACCTGGGGAAAGCAGCCGTCGCTGCAGAGGTTGCCCACCACTGTCTTTGCCTGCCAGGCTCTGCTGAAGGACGGTAGCTGGCGGCAGGAACGCGTGGGTGTAGGTGGTCACCCCACCAGGTTGGGGTGATCACACAGCGGTCACCCCATCAGGCTCCTTTCTTGTCTTGTTTTACCCCCACGCGAAGAAGGTGCTTTTGTCAGTGCTCCCGTCAGTCTTACTTTTTCTCTCTTTGGTGTCACCTCTCAGCAGTGACAACCTTGAACTGATCTCAGGTGCGGTCGGTGGCCCTTTGCATTGGCTGAGTTACCCGTCCTGCCGGCAGCATGTGTTTCACCGTCTTCCGTGGCTGCCCTTGTGCGTTGCCTTCAAGCGCCTGATTGCCCCAGACACCGAAAGGTTCTCCCTGCTGATGGGAGCTCTCCTGCCTCTCCTCCACTGCCGGCATTGGCCTTTGCATGCCTCTTGTCCTTCTTCGGTCCCCTTTTATTACTGCAGAGTTTCATGGCGCTGCACCACAGGAACCAAGGAACACGCATGTTTGGATGACAGCTCTGTTACACCAAGGTGCTACTGGTACTCCTTGTGGAATATTTCTCTGGATTGGCCCAACAAGTTTTTTTATCAGATACATTCTATAGACTTAAAAAATAACAATTTTATCTTCCAGTTCAGCCTTGCTATTTGATCAACTGGGGCAGCAGGATGAAGTAATATGATTGGACAAGGCGCTTCAGGACATGGTTTAGTGGGCATGCTTGGTGGTTGGACTTGATGATCTTGAAGGTCTTTTCCAACCTAAATGATCCTATGATTCTATTCTATGATTAAACTCCCAGATGCAGAGCATAAACTCACTACAAATAGACATGTCATTTGTAATGAGAAGACTGTTTCAGCTGGTGCAAAAGTGCACTGGGGATGCTGCTCATTTTCTGGCGACAAGCATTTGTTCCCAGATGGCCCTGACATATCCTCAAGTTGGCTGCCTTTATATTCAACGTCACTTGAAAAGCTTATGCTATCTTCACTGCCCAGTATCCAAAAGTGAAAGCTTCTCCCCTGTGGTCCAGCTCTTTGAAAAAAAGATGGATGCATTTTGAGATGGAAATATTTTTAGATCCTTGGTTGGTTTTTTTGTCCTTTGTTTCTCTTCAATACTTCTCTTGAAACTGGTCTTGTTAATGCCCTCGATATTAGAACCAGCTGATGATCTTATATTTTTGTTCAGTTACCATATTTCTGAATTCTGGACCGCTCTGGATAAGAAGTCAGTTGTTGGTAGTGTAGTTCTAGGTTTGCTGCTTCACTCACATTCATTGAACACTTAATTTTTTTTTTAATTTAAAAGTTTGATTTCCTACCCTTGTCCAGACATCCTCTTTCTAGAAGTGCTGCCTGAAATGAGATATTCTGCAAGGTTCTCTGATGGTCACATCATATAAGACAGACACATCTACATCATAGATTATAAACCAGGCAGATTAGCCTGGAATTCA